TTGGTATCAGCTGATATTGGCTTTGCAGAATGAGTTGGGGAGGACTCCTTCTTTCTCGATATTATGAAATAATTTTGGCAGTATAGGTACTAGTTCTTTGTAGTTCTGCTAAAATTTGGGTGTGAAACCATCTGATCTGGGACTTTTTTTTTGTTGGAAGATTTTTTATTGCTGGTTCAATTTTGTTACTTGATATTGGTCTGTGCAGGAGTTCTTTTTCTTCCTGATTGAGCCAGGGGAGGTTGTGTGTTTCCAAACTTTGTCCATTTCCTCAGTATTTTTAAGTTTATGTGCATAGATATTTTTATAGTATTCAGAGATGATATTAGGTTAGTAAGTATGAAATATCTGATTTTCTTAAGTACTGAGTTTGACAGTTGATAACTCTGACATTTCACTTTAACACTTATTCTTTCATTTTTTTATTGTGAAGGTACATCCTCATTCTTACAAACATAAATTTTGGCTTGCAATTATCTTTCAGAATTTTTCTTAAAGCAATTTTTGTGAAACTGTGGATAAGTAAAAAAAATCTGTTATTTTTTAATATGAGTTTCATTATGGAAGCAGTGCAGCACAGATAGCTCAAAATATCAGTGAAGTGTTTGGGGAGGATGGGGCTAATGATTGAATGCACAGTATGTTGATAATTTGTGAAGTTCTTTCTGGTGATTTTAATCTTGAAAATGAGCCACATGGCGACCTGAGACCAAGGTGGATAATGATGAACAGAAAGCTATAGTGGAAGTGAATCCATTGCAACCTACATGCAAATTAGCAGCAAGGTTGGACATTACTATTCCAACAATATTGGACCACTTGAAACAAATATGCAAGGTAAAGAAGTTGCATAAATGGGTTCTGCATGAATTAAATGAGCATCAGAAGAGAAATTGTCTCAAAGCTTGCCTTTCTTTGCTGTCATGACGTAAAGGCTAACCATTTCAATACCATATTTTGTTATGTGTGATGGAAAATGGATTCTTTTTGACAATTGCAAGTGTTGGGCCCAACCGTGGGATAAAGATGAAGTGCTGAAACACAGTCCAAAACCGAATATTTATCAAAAATCCCCACAAACTAATGGTGTCTGTTTGGTGATCCAGTGCTGGTATTATCCACTACAGCTTCATGAAACCCAGTCAATCAATTACAGTGGATATGTACTGTAGCCAACTGGACAACATGATGAAGATGCTTGCAGTTAAGCAGCCGAGATTGGTCAATAGAGATAGGCCAGTCCTCTTGCAAGGCAACATTATTGCACAAACAATACTGCTCAAACTATAGTAGCTGGACTTGGAAACTTTCTGATCCACCATATTCAGCAGATCTTGCACCAATTGACTACCACTTCTTCCAGGCTTTGGACCACTTCTTGTAAGGAAAAATATTCAATTCTGAACAAGTTGTGGAAATGCCTTTCATGATTTCATCACCACTCACTCTCTAGGCTTCTTCACTGCCGGCATAAATAAGCTACTTTTAAGATGGCAAAACTGTGTGCATAGTTTAGATGCATACTTTGATTAATTGTAATGCTTCTTTTTTAGATATAATAAACTAGACGTTTGATTCCAAATCAGACATTTCAGATTTAATGACCTAATATTTTGTATTTTTTTGTGGTATCACTTGTAACATTTCTTTTTTCATTTCTGATTGAGCTTATTAGTGTCCTTTAATTTTTCCTTCTGCTTAATCTAGTGAGAGGCCTGTCAATTTTGTTTATCTTTTCAAAAAACCTAGTTTTAATTTTATTAATCTTCTATATAATTCTTTTGTAATTGATTTCATTTCATTCTGCTCTGACCTTAGTTATTTCTTTTCTTCTGCTTGCTTTGGGATTTGTTTGCTTTTCCTTTTCCCGTTCCTTGAGATGATTCATTAGATGGTTGTGATCTTTCTGTCTTTTGGATGTAGGCATTTAAGGCTATGAATTTTCCTCTTAGCTTTACTTTTGATGAATTGCACAGATTTTGATAGCTTGTGTCCCCTTTGTCATTTAGGTCAAAGAATCTTTTGATTTCCATCTTAATTTCCTCCTTGACTTAATATTATCATTCAGCAGTGGGTTATTTAATTTCTATGACTTTGTATAGAGTTGAGTGTTTCTTTTGGAATTGATTTCTAATTTTATTACATATATCTGATATCTAAGAAGATACATGGTATTATTTCTATTTTTTAAATTTTTTTGAGACATGTTTTGTGGCCTCGGATGTGGTCAGTCTTAGAGAATATTCCATGAGCTGCTGAGAAGAATGTATATTCAGTAGTTTTGGGGTAGAATATTCTGTAAATGTCTGTGAGGCCCATTTATTTTAGAGTCCTGTTTAAATCCATTCTTTGTTTACTTCCTGCTTGGAGAATTTGTCCTATTCTCTCAGTGGAGTATTGAAGTTCCCAGCTATTATGATGCTGGTGTTTATCATTTTGTTTAGATTAAGTAGGGTTTGCTTTATGAATCTGGGCGCTCCTGTGTTAGGTACATTAATGTTTAGGGTTGTTATGTTTTCTTGTTGAATTGTTCCTTTCACCATTACATAGTGACAGATTTTGTCTTTCTTTACTTTTGTTGATTTGAAGTCTATTTTATCACTAAGAGAATATCTACACCAGCTTTATTTTGGTGGCCATTTGCATAGAATATTGTTTTCAATATTGATTGAAATTGAAATCTTGATTCTCAATGAGTCTTTTTGTATTATATCCATTTCCTGGAGACAGCAGATACTCAGCTTGTGTTTTTTAATCCATTCAGGCAGCCTATTTGTCTTCAGTGGAGAGTTCAAGCCATAAACAGTTGTTGAAATAATTGATAAGAGGAGTGGATTTCTGTTCATTCTGTTGCATAGAACTTTATTGTATTGTTTTTCCTCTTGAGCCATTATGGTATCTGGGCTTTGACCTTTAGTTTTTGGATGATTTTACACTGGTGGGTGTTTATCGTCTGATTCGTGTGTAATGCAGATCTGAGTACTTTTCTGCAGGGCAGGTCTAGTTATTACAAATTCTCTCAATGTTTGCTTGTCTGGAAAAGGCTTAATTTCTTCATCAAATGTGAAATTTAGTTTTGCAGGACACAAAATTCTAGGCTGGCAGTTGTTCTGTTTAAGAAGATTGGAGATGGTGGCTCATTCCCTTCTGGCTTGTACATTTCCCCCTGAGAAGTCTGCTGTTATCCTGATAGGTTTTAGCCTGTAGGTCAGTTAGTTGTTGCTTACATCTAGCTGCTTATAGAATTTTCTCTTTCATTTTTACTTTGGTCAGGTTGATTACTGTGTGTCTTGGAGTTGTCTTATTTGCTATGAATCTTCCCAGAGTTCGATGACCATCTTGTATCTGAATGTCTGGAACTCTGGGGAAGCTTTCCTCAATAATATCCTCAAATAGTTTTTCCATACTTTTAGCGCTTTCTTCTTTTCCCTCAGGGTTACCTATAATTCACATGTTTGTTCTCTTCACATAGTCTCGTGATTTGTCTAAGTGATTGCTCTGCCTTTGTTGTTCTCTTCTCTGCCTGTTTAACAGATTGGATGAACTCAAGAGGCTTGTCTTCAAGCTCTGAAATTCTTTCTCCTCCTTGATTTAATCTGTTGCTGAAAGTTCCTACTGTGTTTTGAAAATTCCAGAATGATTCTTTCATTTTTTATGTCCCATTATATCTTTCCCAATTTTGTCTAGTTGTTTAGTGACATTAGTGACATTAGTTTTTTTAATGACATTAGAAAAACATTAGTTTTTCACTAATTTCCTGAAATATTTTTGGGGCTTCTTGTTGGTTTTTAACTTTCTCTTTAATTCCGTTCATCTTATTTGCCATCCATGTTCTGAATTCTATTTCTGTCATTATGACAGTTTCCTTGTAGTTGGAGTTCATTGCTATAGCTCCATTATGATCCCTTGGGAGTGTTGATCTGGTTTGATTTTTCATGTTGCCAGGGTTCTTTTCCTGTTTTTTCCTCATTTGAGACCTCTTTTCTCAACTCTGGACTAATAGGTTTGCAGGGCTGCTGTTCCTTGCTGGATTAAATCCTGCTTGATTAAAGTAAGGGGAAGTCACTAGATGGTGCTCTTTTTTTCCCTCCCTACTCTGGAATGTTGACTTGGCAGAGGAGGGGTGTGTGCACTAAAAGCCTGTAATGAAGCTGTTTTGATTTGTTTTGTTTGCCTGTGATTGCCTCTGTTCAAGCCTGCGCTGAATGCTGTTTGGGTTGGGTGTCAGATTGTTCTCCAGATAGTTGTAGGTGTTAGAGCTGGGAGCTGGGTGAGACTTTCCTCACTGACCCCACCTGGGATCTCCTCACAGAGGGAATGGCAGCAGCTGGATGTGGTTGTTGTAGGTTCCCAGGATGTGTGTGTTTGCTCAAACCACGTTCCAGGGTACTGGTGGCTTGAGGTTGGGGGTTCCCTGGCAGGATGTTGGACTTTGGAGCAATTTTTCCAGCTCTGCTGCAGTGGTGGAGGCTCTGGGGTGGGGTCTTGGGGCCCAGGTACAGTGCTGGAGACTTGGGGATGGTGTCTGGGGTCTGGTTGGGATTCTGGAGGCACAGAGGCAGGGCCGCTCTGGTGTCAGAGCCTCAGAGCCAGGACTGGGGAGGAGCCTGAAGCATAGTTTCTGAGCAGGGATGAGGAGCCAGAAGCAGTGTGGTCCTGGGGATTGATCTGACCTGGAGAGCAGGATCAGGGCCAAGCAGGCAGGAGGCCTTTGGGGCCTGGAGGGTGGAGTCTGGGCTGAGCAAGTGGCAGGCTGTTCTGCAGGCTCAGGTGGGCTGTGGATGCCAGGTCAGGTAGGCAGGAAAAGCCAAAGTCAGTACACTACTACTTCCCCAGCCTGGTGCAGACCTGGCATGGTATACCCGAGAGCTCAGGATGGCTTTAGCTGCCGCCCAGTCCTCACCATGCCTGTTGTCTGATGCAATGGCTCTGCACAGACTCCAGGCAGATCCTGGGTCTGACTAGGCAGAGGTCTGTTGGGGTGGAGGGAGTGGACTTGCAGTTCAGTTCCCATTGCGCCAGCAGAGTGGGCGTGGTGCCCCAGCACTCTATCTTGTTATTGTTCCCCCTCTTCTCTGATCTTGTTATATGTATCACCCCGTCACCTTTTTGCCCCCACTCTGAGGGTCTGTGATTTCACAATGCTGCTTTAGAGAAGAGTGATCTCTAAGTAGACAGCTGCCTGCACCTTTCACTTCTCTGGGTAGCAGCGTGCTGGCAGTTGGCTTCTAGTCTGCCATTCCCCTCCACCTGCTTTCAGATTTTAATTGGGATTGCTTTGAGTCTGTACGTCCATTTGGGGAGAATCGACATCTTAGACAATATAGTCTTCCAATCTGTGAACAAAGTATATCTCTCTGTTTATTTAGATCTTACTTAATTTTGCTCATTAGTGTTTTATAGTTTTCTGTGTACAGGCTTTGCTTATCTTTTGTCAGATTTTTTATAAGTAGTTTTAATTTTTTAATTCTATTATAAATGCCATTTAAAAATTTTAATATCTGTTTATTATTGGTACATAATAATACAGTAGGTTTCTGCACATTGATCTTAATCCTGCAACCTAGCTAACCTCACTTACTTGTTTTAGTAGCTTTTTTGTAGATCCCATCAGATCTCCTACCTAGACAATTGTCATCTGCAAGTACAATTTATGTTTTCTTTCCAATCTGGATGCCTTTTGTTTCCTTTATCTTACCTTATTGTACTGACTAGACTGTTCAGTAAAATAGAAATAGTGAGAGTGGACTTGATTGTCTTGATCCTGATGTTAAGGAGGAAAGTGTTCAGATACATGATGTTAGCTGTAGGTTTTTTTATAGATGCCTTTTATCAAGTTGAGGAAATTCCTTTCTATTCCTAGTTTGCTGAGGATTTTCATCAGAAATGAATGGTGAATATTGTCAAACGCTTTTTATGCATCTTTTGAGATGATCATATAGTTTTTATTTTTAAATCTTTTAATATTTTGAACTACATTGATTTTCACACAAACTAAGCTTGCATTCTTGGGACACACCATTCTTGGTTATGACATTATCCTTTTAATATAATTTTGAGCATGGTTTGCTCAAATTTTGTTAAGACTTTTGCAGCTTTTCATGAAGGGTTTTAATCTATAGTTTTCATTTCTCATGATGTCTTTGTCTGGTTTAGTATGAGGGTAATGTTAGCCTTAAAATAAGTTAGGAAACATTTTCCATACCCCCTTTTTTCCCTTGAGCTTCCTGAAGAGTTTGTATAGAAGTGATGTTATTCCTTAATTATGTGGTAGATTTCCCCAGTAAAGCGATCTTGGCTAGGAATTTTTGTTTGTTTTTTGCTGAAGGTATTAAACTGTAGATTCAGATTCTTTAATAGATAATCTTTTCCTTCTGGAGAGATCTCATTTGTGTCTTTCAAGGAATTGTTGGACTTAATAGCATAAAGTTGTTTATAATATTCCCTTATTATTTTTGTGATATGTGTAAAATCTATAGTGGTGTCACTTCTCTCATTCCTGATCTTGGTATTTTATATTTTCTTTCTTAGCCTGGCTAGAGGCTTATTATTGATAATTTTATTGATTTTTCTCAAATAATCAGCTTTTCTTTTCATTGACTTTCTTTGTTGCTTCTCTGTTTTCTACTTCATTGATTTCTATCCTGATTTTTATTTAACCTTGGTTTCTGAAAGATATTTTAGCGTGGTAAACAGTTCTAGGTTGATAATATTTTATTTTCAATACTTTGAGATCTTCCACTGTCTCCTAGCTAGCATTGCTTCAAAGAGAAATTTATTATCATTATATTTGTTCCTTCATACATAATATCTTTTTTTCCCCAGCTGCTTTTAAGGTTTTTTTGTTCATCCCTAGTTTTTTTGTTTTTTTTTTTTTTTTGAGACAGAGTCTCGCTTTGTTGTCCAGGCTAGAGTGAGTGCCGTGGTGTCAGCCTAGCTCACAGCAACCTCAAACTCCTGGGCTCGAGCGATCCTTCTGCCTCAGCCTCCCAAGTAGCTGGGACTACAGGCATGCGCCACCATGCCCGGCTAATTTTTTATATACATATCAGTTGGCCAATTAATTTCTTTCTATTTATAGTAGAGACGGGGTCTCGCTCTTGCTCAGGCTGGTTTTGAACTCCTGACCTTGAGCAATCTGCCCGCCTCGGCCTCCCAGAGAGCTAGGATTACAGGCATGAGCCACCACGTCCGGCCTTGTTCATCCCTAGTTTTAAGTAATTCAATTATGAAATGCCTTTTGGTGATTTTCTTCATGCTTCTTGTTTTTGGGGTTCTTTGAGGGTCTTCTTGTTTCTCTGTAGGTTTATAGTTTCCAACAAATTTGGAAAAATTTCTGCAACTTTTTTCTGTCATCTTCTGCTTTCTAGTTCAGGGATTCCAATTATAAATTAATTAGGCTGCTGAAATTGCTGCTCAGTGATGTTTTTTTCTCTTTGTGTTTCATTTTGTATAGTTGCTATTGCTTTGTCTTCAAATTCTTTAATAGTTGTTTTCCCCTTCTGTATTGTCTAATCTCTTCATTCTGTCCAGTGTATTTCTTATCTCAGGCAGTATAGTTTCATCTTTTAGAAGTTTGTTTTGGGTCTTTTGTGCCCACACACATACATATCTCTACTTAACATGGTCAGTCTTTGCTATAGCTTCTTTAACATATAGAAGTCAATGATAATGGTTTTAATGTCCTTGCCTATTAATTCTATCATCAGTGTAATCTTGGGGATAGTTTTAGTTGATTAACTTTTCTCCTCTTTATACATCATATTTGCCCTTTTTTATGACTGGCAATTTTTATTGGATGCTAGATATTGTCAATTTTGCTTGTTCAGATATTTTTGTATTTTTATAAGTATGCTTGACTTTTTTTTCTTGGATGCAGTTACTTGTAAATAATATGTCTTTTTTCAGATATTGCTTTTAAGCTTTATTAGGTGAGACTAGAGCAGTGTTTACTCTGGAATTAATCTATCTTAATTAGTGAGCCAAAAATTCTTCTAAATACCACATCTGATGATCCATCATTGATGAGGTTTTCAAGTTTGGCTTATGGGGCACTGTTTTGTACTGTTTCTGAGCTTTAAGGTGGTTTCCTCTAATTGTTTTGGATGGGTCTCCACCTGCCTTCCACAGTTTCCTCACGCACGTGCACTAGTCAGTACTAAGTTAAATACTCCAGGGTGACCTTTCACAGATCTAAGGAGTTTTTTCTGTGCATCTCTCTCTTCTCTTGTACTCTGCTTTGTAAAATCCAGTGACCTTGGTCTCTGTGGACTCCAGATCATCTCAAGTCAGAGAGACCACTGGGCTGGGTTTGTCTTCCCTGTGCCATGGCCTGGATGCTTTCCCTGGACAGTAGTAAGCTGAGTTCCTTGTAGGGCTCTCAGATAGTTTATTTTCCAACTCTTGATTTCTAGTCTCTTCAGGAATGTCGTTTTATATATTTTGTTTGGATTTTAAGTTTTTGTAGGCAGTTGGGCAAATTTAGTGTCTGTTCCTCCATATTTTGGCTAGAAAATGGAACTCAGTATAATATTTTAGTAGAAAAAAGACATGAAAAGAAAATTTCTTTTAAACCTTTTGTTTCTTCTTATTGAAACTTACATTTTTCCTGGGCTCATTGAAGAGAATATTTATATTTAAATTTATTTATAACATCTGTCCTCATGTAATTTTACAGTTACTAACACAATATAGGAGAAAATGACAGAACTGTTGATGTTGCTACCACTCTTCTGTTCCAATGAAAGCTTGGCACTTCCAGTTAAATGATGCAGAATAACTTAATCCACTGCATTAATCCTCCCCATTTTCTAAAGGCCAAATCAACTTACGGAGGATATCTCTTATGCTGTGCTGTGTTCTTCATATACAAATTTGTTGTTACTTTGCTGACTGCTGATATCACAGATTTTTTTTTTCAAGTCAAATGAAAACATTTGGTTATATTCTGCAGCATGTTATTTAAATCGTCCATGTTTTAAATATTCTGTTTCTTACTGTTGAAAACATGTTTATATAATTATAGTTTGCTGTTCTCAAATTGGTACAGAATTTGTCTCAGTCTTTGCATTTATTTTTGCTAAAAATGCAAACAAGGCTAATATATTCCACAGTGGTATTTGTTAAAATCTTGATATATTGATATTTCATAGTTTTATTACTCATCTCAAAGACATTAAATTGATTTAGACAAGAATCTTAGTAGTTGGACTCTACAGCTAATTTAGAATGTCATTTTAGCTAATAGTTTCTGCTTTTTTAAAAAAGACTTTTAAAACAGCAGTTCTAATATATGGAGATATTAATTATTTAAGTTAATTTTTCACTTCAAACTGAAATTGCTATTGAGCAGGCATCTAAAGACAAATATCTATTAATAGCTTGTTTTTCTCTTTGTCTTGCTCCACTGGAATGTAGAGTTTATGATGGCAGGGACTCTTATCTATTTTATTTCCCTGCTGGATACCTAGAAAGTTCTTGGCACATACTAAGCATTTAGCATATTCCTGTTAATAGTGAGTCACTAAATTAATGAACAATTAAGCTTCTAAGTCATTTCTGCTTATCCAGATCTCATCCATCTTTCCAGGTCCAGTTCAAAGTTATACTGCATTCATGAAGGTGTTTTTGAATGAAATTGTCACCAACTCCTTCAGCTTGTTGTGCTCTTTTCCTCCTTTGAACTCTTTTACATCAGTTGAAAAGAGAATTTTCTAACAGATATAACTGCATACCATTGGAGTAGGCTGCAAGAAGGGAACATTCTATTACTTGAAATGTTTAAGGAGTGATAGGGTGGCTTTGTCAATAAAAGAGGAGTTGACAGGTACAATGTTCTTAGTTTGTGCTAGGTGCTTATATACTTCATGCCCTTTAATTTCAAGGGACCCTACAAGGTATAGGTGAACTCTCTCTATTTCTTATTGGTGGAAACTTAGGTTTAGAGAAGCCATATAATTTGTCTACAGTTCCATATCTTAAGTGTCTGATTCAAACCCAGGTCTGTCTTTGTAGAAGAGCTATTATGTTGCCATCAGTGGGTAATTACTTTATGAACTTAAGGTCCATTACTATTGTATGAAGTATGGTAGTTTGGCATTTCTACTAAGGAATGAAGACTTGAGCAGGGCAGCATGATGGTGGTTAGGAAGAGAAGAAAAATTTTGGAAATTGGGATAATTAGAAACACCAAAGAGAAGGAGAGGCAACAAATTTTATCATTCTTTTCTTGTATTGACCTTGTGATGTGTTAAGATTTTGACAACCAAGTTGGTTGCTACTATTTT